TTAAGTGCACGGGCTCTAATCTGGTTAAGGACCGGGTTTGATTCCCCACTCCTCCACTTGCACCTGGCTAGATGACCTTGGGCAAGCCGTAGTTCTGATAAGAGCTGTCCTTGAGAAAGAGCAGTTTCCGCCAGAGCTCTCTCAGCCCCACCCACCTCACAGGGTGTCTGTTGTGGGGAGGGGGAGGGAAAGGAGTTTGTAAGCCGCTCTGAGACACCTTTGGGTAGTGAAGGGCAGGGTATAAACCCAATCTCTTCTTCTTCTAACTGGGGGTAGCCAGAGAGAGGAGTGTAGTTAGTCCTACATACAGTTTTGGGGATTTCAGGTGCAAAGGTTCTCAGGCATCAGCGATAGACCTGTGATCTGATTTACAACACGGCACCGTAAGTGCTGTGGATATTTGGGTCTTCTTCGGCCCTAACAACCTAATAACATAATCTAATAACCGGCGGGTGGAGGGGCTGCCACGTTAAACACACAAAGGACATCTTGGAAGCAAATAAAAAAAAATTTATTAACATTTTAGAACAAAATAATTAGCTATCACAAGGTCCCCCCCGAACACCCAAAATACACTATGAATTATAATTTCCATGAAATATAACTTAACAAAATTACATTAAAAAATAAAAAGTTGCAGAGGTCCCAGTGTCACCATGTCGCTTGAGGAAAGGGGGAACAATCTGAAACGCTAGAAATTATAATCTTCTTATGAAATATAACAAAAATTACAATGAAAAAAACCCAAAGAGGCGGAGATCCCGGGCGGCTGGCACAACTTTGGTGTGGCGAAAAGGCGAGCGGTAACAGCAGCACGGAGGCCCCTCCGGTAGGAAACTCAGGCCCAAATCCCAAAGGGCAGCCTGGCCGTCCGTCCGTGGCAGGCAGAAACGCCCCTGGCTCAGGTCAGGAGGCCTCCTATTGCTTTGCTTTCCCTGAGCAGCACCCTTGGACAGCACAGGATTGCAGCTCTCACCTTGCGGGGTGGGGGACGGGACGGGGGGCTCAGTGAGGTTGGCGCCCATCCAAGCACACCCCCCCAGGCTTCAAAGGGCAGAAATGCCCACTCCCTCCCTGTGGCTGCACGTGGAACAAAAGTGAACCCGAGAAGCTGAACAGCCTCCACTTCCACCCGACCGTGTCCTTACAGCAGCAGGGTCAAACCCTCTCTGTGAACCAGACCAGGCTGAGCTACTGGCTGGCCTCCACATTAATAAGTGCCATAGGAAGCACCCCCCTCCCGTCTCTTGGGCTCTTTATTGCTGGTGGAGGAAAACAAGGCCATGCAAAGCCGAGGGATCAGCCTCGGACCCCTCCTGGGTCCACCTTTGCCGCTTCCGACTCTCGCACGGCCGCAGTGACAGCCGGGCAGTGACCAGGCCCGCTGCTTTCGTGTTCGGAGAAAGGAAGCCCCCGACTGCCTCTTCTAGCTCCTGCTGCGGCAGCAAAAGCGGCAACATATTCTGAAGAGGTGGTGGCAGCGTCCTTCCCCCAGAGCAGCACTGCCTGCAAACCCGCCCCAGCGCACACGCCAGCCTCGTTCCACAAAGGGGCGCTCCTGGAATGAGCCAGGCCAAGGAAACAGGCTGCCTGCCTCCCACGTGCAGGAGGGGCTCTCTCCCCACCCCGAGACCCTCCCCCTGCCTGGCCCAGTGGAGGACCACCACCAGCAGCAAGCCTCTGGCAAGCCAGGACAAGAAAGAAGTGTGCAGTTATGAAAAACCAGCCAAGTCCTATTCCTATGGATGAAAATTAAAGAATCGAACTGACCCCAAATACAGTCCCAGAGAAAAGGAGGACTTTGTGTAGGGACGTGGCTGGTTGTGGCCTGGGGGAGCCAGCCCGAGGCGGAGGGGGGGGGCAAAGGCAGCCCACGGGACAGCTGCTCCTTTCCCTCCAGAGAAGGGAAAAGTCCTGGGGAAGATGAGCAGCCGCTTAGGACCCTCTCCCCGACTCCTTCAACTTGGCAGTGGAGCCTGGCGCTCCAGGGCGTGGTGGCGGGGGGCCGGGCCAGGCCAAGCCAGGGAGAAGGTGGGGCCCTTCCTAAGATACGCCACGTCACAAGGTGAAGAACGGGCAACAGACAGGTGGCAATTTGGCCAGGTGAGGCACTGTTTGAGACGGGATGCCCGACCCCGGCGGCACGCTGGCCTTGCGGCACAACAGTCAGGGGTGTTGCCTTGTGGCACCAACAGGCACGCCTTGGCTGGCCCTCTACCCCTCCCCCTTCCCGGGGGTTCAAAAGAGGAGAGGGGCTGTTTTGGAATGTGCCATTTCCCATTTTCAAGCCGCTTTCCATCCAGCTCAATACGCATTCCTCACACGCTAAGCGGAAAGATGGCCTCATGTGAGACCTGCTCTTCTACAGGACTTGACGGAGCCACCACGTTATGGCGATGTGAGGGTCCTGAGAAAGGGGGGCAGGCCCTGGCCATGGGCCTGGGGAGGACGTGTGGCCTGATCTCGGCGGGCTGTTCCACAGGTGCTTGTCTGGGATGTGCTGAGGCTCTGCGATTCCCACCCTGCCCAGTGCTGGTGCCATGGTGTCAGGGGAAAGGCCTGTGCCCACACCTCCCCCTGACTCTTGCAGTGGCAGTGCTAGAAAGTCTGGATAGGAGCCAAAGGGTTACTTTAGGCGGTCCCCACGTTTTGCACTAGACTGCTCTTCCTGGTAGACAAGTGCCCTGCCCCCTCTGTTCCAAAATCCATTGCTGACATAACACATGGGGTGGTGCTGCCTCTCATGTCCAAATCCTCCTCGAGCATGCCGGCCTAGTTGCAACGTCGAGCATGCCGGCCTAGTTGCAACGTACGCACGGGGCCACAGCCCCTGGCCTCTGCCTCTTCTGCTCCGGAGGACCGAGGGAGAAGTCGGCTGCTTTGCACTGCCACCATCTTGATACCCCGTCTTGTGCCTGAGACACTCGAGGCCTTTATATGTGGACGATATGTTATGGTGACGATTCAAAACTTAGTGAATGTCAACTTTCTCGTGCGTGTCCTGACAACACCCCCCCACCCCCAGCAAATGTCTGAAAAATCCAGACAGTTGGTATGGATAGACATTTGCAGAATTCACCTGGGATTGTCACAGCATGTGCGGGTGAATGTTAAACTTTTGCCACGTTCTGGATATTCTAACACACACGCACACACAGACACACACACAGACAAACAAATATAACTTATACATTAATTCTGACAAATTGTGCTGCCCCTCAGCATTCTGACATTCACCCCAGTGGCAGAGGAAGGGAAGAGGCTGCAGCCAGGTTTGTGTGCACGGCCCATGTCGTTTTTTCCTTCTTCCTCTATCGCTCAGCTATCAAGTCCTCAGACAAATTAAGTGGTTCCCAGTGAGGCAAGGGTTGGCACCTGATGGAGGGGAGAGATGACCCTCCCTCGGGCGGGCGCTGATGCCAGCCGGTTCTCTCAAGACAAGCAGTCAGGCCCGGCAGGCAGCACACGACAAGCCACACGACAGACACCGAGACCGTGATTCGGCCACACACACCTGCCGGGGAAGGCTCCGGGTTCGTTCAACGTGGTCTGGGGTTGCGTTTCGGCCTGCAGGGAAGACGTGCGGTATCAGGAGGAGTTGCAAGGCGCTCCCCTCTCCCTCGGGGAGCACAGCGGGCCAGTCTTCTCCAGACCCTGGAGGGGACCGATACGGGAGGGTGCCGCCCAGTGTAAGGACAGAATTCCAGGATCATGCATATGTTTCCAGGCGTTTTCATCTCACATTCACAAACATTTCCTTTTTTAAAAACAAAACCCAATAGAAAAATAGATGCATTTGAAAAAGGGACCTCTTCGTTTCAGAGGCTCTGCCTCTCGGCCGCCCCGGCAGGGAGGTCTGGAGAGGAGGGTCTGTATGGCACCAGGCAGAAGCCGCGGCAAGTTGGCCTGGCGGACCGAGAGGTCTAAGCGGCAGCTTCCGAGCCCCACGCTGCAGGGACGCACGTGCGCGTTTGTAAAACACGAGATTGTACAATTATTATTTTTTCCAGTGGCAAGTCCTGTGCAAACATGACACAGTGGAGAATCACAAACCCCAGCATTGGGACTGCAGGGAGCATTTCCCTTGGGGGAGGGAGAGCCACTCCCCCCCCCCACGAGGCCAAGCAGTACAGAAGCACACAATTGATTCCTCTCGGCTCAACGGCATGCAGAGGTAGGCGCAGCCCCCGCCTCCCATGCAACACACGAGTGGTCGGCCTTCTCTTCGGCGTGGGTCGCCCCACGGTCGTGACGACGTCGCTTCCACAGTGGCAGGAAGGGCTGGAGTTGAAAGGCAGAGATAGCAGCACAGGAGAGCAGCAAAATCATCTCGACACAAAGAGCAGGGGGGATGCGGGACCTGATGCGATGCTCAGGCAGAGCCCCACCACCACATCCGGCAGAGAGCAGGGCTCAGGAGATTCCTGCTACAGAGCAGAGCTTGGGTGGGGTGGGGTGGCTCAGGACTCCAGCACAGCTGGAGGGGAGTCTACGGAGAAGAGACCCTCGGGGCCAAGCAACCCCTGGTGAGAGCGGCAAACAAAGGAACCCAGCTTAAGGCAGTTTTGTTGCCCTTCTGCTTTGACAACCCGCTTTGCCGGGGAGCAGCTGGGCTGGCGGGGCTCCGGCTTCCGGCCTCCCCTTCCCGGGCTTGCTTTTGCCTCTCAAGATGACTTCCTCCCCGCCCAGCCCGCGGGGGGAGGGAGAGCACACAGCAGCACATCGAAGGGCGGTTCCGAGTGCGACGCATGCGGAAGCGCGGGGGCTCTGATTTCGCAAAAGGCGGGAGGCAAGCGGGAAATCCGAGGCAAGCTGCAGAGGAGAACCACAGGCTCAAAGACGGTGCAAAAACAGTTGAGGGGAGTGGAGCAGAAGAGATCAGAGTGCGCGTCTCTCCCCAGGCCCACACGCAAAAAGAGTAAAGGTTGCAAAGTGACGCAGTGTTGCTTTGATTCCTTTGTCAAACGTGCCACAGGCTTTAGTCCGAGCCTGGTGCAGCCCTAGTTCTGGCGGCGGTTGGCCTCCTTGGTAGTCTCGTCGGGCGCTTCTCCGTCTGGGGCTTCCCCACCTCCGTCCCTTTTCGGCACTTTGCTGGCCTTTCCCCCGAGAGCATCTTCCTTGGTCAACTCCGAGGCTAGCAGTGAAGTGACAGCGCAGCCAACTTTTCGGTTTGCTGGAGGAGGAAGCAAAGAAACAAAGAGGTGAGATGCCAGCAAGACCGAGGGCACCAGCTCCACTCGGCTGGCCCTGACCACCTTCGGCATCCTGGACTGCTGCAATTTCTCTGCCTTCCGAATCCACCCCACTGGAATTGAGATCAATAATCAACGCTGAAACGCAGGCTGGAGAAAGGACAGCAGTTTGAAGAGACAAGGGGATTGAGAGAAGTATGGTGTGCAGACACACCTTTCTTTCATTGCACTGTGGCTTCTGACCAAATGGGTTTTCACAGGCAGAATAAGGGTGAGTGCTCACACCATGGGCAGTGGTCCTCTCTTCATACTATCTCCCACTCTTGGGACAAAACATCCTGTCTCCAGCCTCAGCACAGCAAAAGGCTCTTTTAGGAACGAAGAGAAGGCCTTCCCCTGAAACAGCAGCATGGACCCGTATCAGGTGCATCAACCAATGCAGCTCTCAAATGCAGCAACCTCAAAGGAGGGTCCCATAAGGCATGCTCAAGGAAGGGGGTGATGTGGGACACCCCAGCACTGCTGTGACAGAGGAAATGGGCCACAAGAAGCGGGAGAAGGATGAAGAAAGAGCCCCACGCAGACCTCTCTGTTCTCTCGAGGCAGGCGATCCACCGAGGGGCCACCCCTACGGATGACAACAGGAACGGGCATGCCAAGAAAGGACAGCCTGCAATGACAGCCACAATGTCCACACGCAGAGCCACCTTCCCGACCATGCACAAAGACAGAGACCAGAAGGCATGCAACATACACACATTTCTACACTATGGTGTTGCACCGTACGTGCAGGCATTACACAGAAAGCTTGCTTGCACAGAGAAGTTCAGAGAAAACATTTGTGCTCAGGGAGATGAGCGGAGAAAGACAGGGGGACAAAGGAGCTACCGGGGCTGCTGACGTGGGGTGCTGTGGGTCCGCGGGGAGTTCACTAGGAAGAAAAGGGCAAATTTACAACACACCTGGTAGGAGACCCTTTCTCTGCTTCAGAAACACAGGATTCCCCAACATGCACTGGGCACAAAAACTGTAGGTCTAACTATGAAGCAACCTCTGCCCACACCCGTACCTGCTGAGTGGGTTCTACAAGGACCATCTCCCCTTTGCATGCCATCTTGCAGGGGGGGGGGAGACGGGGACAGGTCTGTCTTCGACTTCTGTCTCCTGAAGCTGCACCTCACCCACCTTCCACAGTCTTGGCTCTACAAGTGCATGAAGCTGCCTGTTGGTCTATCAAGGTCAGGATTGTCTACTCCGATTGGCAGCAGCTCTCCAGAGTCTCAGGCAGAGGTCCTTCACATCACCTACGACCCGATCGTTCTACCTGGGACGCCAGGGATTGAACCTGGGGTGTTCTGTATGCCATGCAGATGGTCTACCACTGAACCACAGCACTCCTCTTCATATACCCCCTGACCAGTATTCCCTCTAAGCTGAGTTACCGCAAATCAGACTGTTGGTCTATCAAGGCCAGGATTGTCTACTCCGACTGGCAGCAGCTCTCCAGAGTCTCAGCCAGAGGTCCTTCACACATCACCTACGACCCGACCGTTCTACCTGGGACGCCAGGGATTGAACCCGGGGTGTTCTGCATGCCACGCAGATGGTCTGCCACTGAACCACAGCACTTCTCTTCATATACCTCCTGACCACACTGACTCACTCCTTGAAGATCTAAGGGAGAAGTCCTCAGCCTAGGAAGTTGACGGCCCCAAATACTACAGGGTCTAAGTCCCCTCTTGTTTGCAGACCAAGGCTTCAGCATAGGGAAACGGCTCTTGGACTCTCGGTCAGGACCCAAAAGTGGACTGCAACTGCCTCGCAGGCAAGTCCCAAGGGCAGGAGGAGGAACAGGGCGAGGTGGAAGGGGAGCCTCCGAGGCAAAGTTGGGCTTCCCTCTGAATAAGGCACAAAACTACAACAATAGAGAATCACAGCTCATGATACCATACAAGAAAAGGAACAAAGAAGAGCTGTGAACCAAAACTGCAACATTTACAAAATTCAATGCTGTATTAGAACACAAGTCCAACAATCATAGACATGTGTGAGGAGAGGTCCAAAGTAGCAGCGTTAATAAAGTTTTCCGGATTACAAAGTCGTTTCGCAATCTTCATCCGAAAAGGACCGTGAATATCTTTTCAGAGCTGCAAAACTCCATCTTGTATGTGCTGCGTGATTCTGTAAAGAAGTCAGTCCACAATTTCCATACTAGCAAAGTGCGTCTATAGTCGGAGTCGGGCATTCTTTTGCTCTGATGGCCCGACTCCGACTACAGACGCACTTTGCTAGTATGGAAATTGTGGATTGAGTTGTTTACAGAATCACGCAGCACAACAAGATGGAGTTTTGCAGCTCTGAAAAGATATTCACGGTCCCGTTCTGATGAAGATTGCGAAACGACTTTGTAATCCAGGAAACTTTGTTAACTGTACTACTTTGGACCCCTCCTCACACATATATATGATTGTTGGCCTTGTGTTATAATACAGCACTGAATTTTGTACACTTTGCAGTTTTGGTTCTTAGCGCGTATACACAGCTTTCTTTGTTCCTCTTCTTGCAAGGTGCAAAACTGCCATGAAACACAGCCGGCTGCTCAATAATAACCTGAAAACCAAAATATAAAACTGTTCGGTGTTAACTGATGTGAGATTGTTGCATTTGGGGCTGGGAAGAGGAAAAGTAGCATAGAGTTATTATGCAAGTGGGCCTCGAGACCTCTCAGTTCGGCAGTGGGTCCTGCTTCAGAAAGCGTGAGAGCTGTTGGCTTCGTGTCACACCACACACAGCCTGCGGAGGCCCCTGTAACACGAAAGTGCTTGAAAACTTATCATTGATTATGGTGATTATTAAAGGAGAAGCTCCTGGAGGCTCCAGCCAGAAGCGGTGGAAGGGCAAGGGTAAAGGCCAAGCTCGTTTCTCCCTGCCAGGCAGTGTTCTCTTTCTCCAAACCACACACACCCGGCCCCAAGGCTGTTTTTCTCCCCGTGGGAAGCAGACACAGCTCTCTGAGCCAAGAGGAAAGCAGCTTGCAGTGGAGGACTGACAGAGGGGAAATAGCGGAGAGAAGAGAGCTTGTCAGCAGCTTGCAGTGGAGGACTGACAGAGGGGAAATAGCGGAGAGAAGAGGGCTTGTCGGCCCCTTACCCCAACCTTTCCTCTGCTCCCGGCTGTAGCCTCTAGAGGACGGTCTTCATCACAGACTCACAAGCACGTACTTGGTGTTGCGAGGCAGCTGCACAAAACTCCACCTAACAATGGGCTGGATCCCACAGGTCCGGCGGAGGTTTTGCTTCCCTTTGGGGAAGAAGGAGCCTTCCTGACACGAGATGCAAGCTTCTGCAGGATCCCGTCCAACGCTCAGCTGGGCTTGCACCGTCTGCCTTCCGTGGGGGTTCTGCACCCCCAGCTCTGCTGTCCTACTCCCCCCCCCAACTCTGCAAACTGCCTTAATGACCGTGGCCCATCGCAGCCCCAGTCCCTTCTTGGAAAAAAAAAGCCATCTTTCAGGACGGCTTTCTGTCAGCTGGCTTGCAGAACTCATTGGAAAGGGGAACAGGATGGTAAATACGCAATTATAAGGAAATGGAAGTGTCAGCTGGACAGACTGCCTGGGTGACGGATCACTGTCGTACGGGAGCCAGAAGCGCTGCACATGCCAGCCAGGAGGGATGGGAAGGAGGAGAGAGACTGCCAGAGGACAGCCTCGGGAGGCCCAACAGGAGGAGGCCAGAAACGAACCGGCACCATGTTTGAGAGTCGGGAGGAGAAAGGGTGGCAGAGCGAAGATGCCCTTAAAAGTTTCAGGCGGCTGTGCTGGTCCACGGGAAAACCCCCAACACAAAAGCCACGAAGACAGATCAAGATGGGCAGCCGTGTTCGTCTGCCTGTAGCGGCAGGAAAGAGCAAGAGTCCAGGAACGCCTCAAAGACTAACAAAATCCGGGGAAGGGGAGGAGCTTTCATCCCTGCTCACTTCTTCAGATACCTGAAGAAGCGAGCAGTGACTTAGGAAAGCTCCTACCCTGCCCCGGATTTTGTTAGTCTTTGAGGCGGCTCTTGGACTCTTCCTCTTTTCCACAAGAGCCACGGAATACCTTTTGTCAGGACCAACCAAAACGTTCATCTAAGGAGTGCCACGTTTGCCCCCAGCTCCCGGACTTTAAAGGGACCGCCATGTTCCAGTTGGCATTAAGGGACTTGGGATGAACCGCTGGCCTGGAGGCTGCCCACGCCTTCGCCTTCTTCCTCCCGCAAGGCCAAGGGTGCAAACTGGCACCAGCCCCACCCAGGGCCTGGGAAGGATGCAGAAAAAACAGCCTTCACGTCATGGCCTGGATTGCACCCCCCCCTTAAATAAACACAGCCTGCTGAAGAGTTCTGGAGACCCTGCTTCCTGGGTCATTTCGGTTGGTCTTTGCAAAAGATGCGGGTATGTCTTTTATTTCCCAGTGCACCCAACGGTACTCATGCGGGAGGCCCCTGGCCCAGGGGCAGCGTGGGTCTGAGGCTGCCTGTGACCTCCTCTCCTCTTCCGATCCTCCCTGCCTACAGCACACAAGTGGGGGAGGGGGAGGAACATGAACATGCCCACGGATTACCAGCTCAGACGCATCCTTCGCCACCTCGCAAAGGGACCCGAGAGAGCTGGCTGCAAGGAAAGAGAAGCGGTGCCCGTCAGGTTGCTGGCAGAGGAAGCCTGGGAGCGGCAACTGCCCCTGGGCCAAGAGCTCCCGAGGCAGCAGGAGACACGTCCGGGCAGAGGGACGGAGCCACCTGTGTCAACTGGGCCTTTTGACCCTCGAGCTCCGGCAGCGGAGAGGGCTGGGGAGGAGGGCGCCTCTTCAGATCCAGCTCTTGCGGCCAGCGGTCCACGAATGGAAGTAAAGAGTTATGCCAACAGAGGTTATTGGAAACTGGCATTGAAAGTAAAGAGGACAGAGAGACTCCGGCATCCTGCAAGGCAGCAGTAGGGACGG